GAAGGACGCGCGCGCGCGCGCGCGCGCGCGTGTGTGTGTGTGTGTGTGTGTGTGTGTGTGTGTGTGTGTGTGTGTGTGAATGCTTGTGTTTAGTATACTTATGTGTTTGATGATGTATTTTATCAACATAAAAGTAGCCTCTTTATTACAGCATCCGGGTATAACTGGCCTGAAGAATTTGGGCAATTCTTGTTATATGAACAGCATCATACAGTGCTTAAGTAACACGACAAATTTAACGAAATATTTTACTGACAATTCGTACGCTGACGATCTCAATACGAGTAATGATAATATGACACAAGTCCAAGTGGCGGAAGAAGTAGCTCAAGTAATTAAAGCTCTATGGAGAGGCCAATACAAAAGCATATCTCCTCACGATCTTAAGGTATTTTATATTTTATCTTTTATTTTATGAACTTTAAACTGCTAATATTTTCTTTAAACTGCTAATATTATTTTTTCAATTATGAATTGTTGTCATTGCAGGTTGCAGTTGGACAATATAAATTGCAATTTGAAAGTTACGATCAACAAGATTCTCACGAATTCCTCACGTTTCTCTTAGATTGGATGCATAGTGATCTTAAAAAAGTATGAATTTGCAATGAATAGAATCTAATGAAACTAATTAACACCAAAATAGATACTAAAAATATTTTTGCTCATAGGAAGCGAAGATGCCGATTGAAATGACTAATGCGGAGAAAGAATGGGACAAAGCAATGAGCTCTCAGAGATCTATAATATCAGATTTATTTTTCGGACAATTAAGATCCACGATTACATGTTCATTTTGCAAGCAAGCGAGTACTACATATGAGACATTTAATAGTTTAACGATGTCTTTACCTCAGTCTAATCGATGTACTTTAAATGTGAGTATTTTTATAAAGTGTGATATCATATATATTATAGAATTACTTGAATGATTTCTACATTTTTATTATTTTTTATCTATAAACAGTTAAATAAATTAAATTATTAAAAATGAAAAGCATACAATTTTATAATAATTGAATATCTTACATAAAAAGTTTTGCTTATTATTTAAGGATTGCATGGAGAAGTTTGTGACGGGACAGAAAGTAAGCGGATGGAAGTGTCCTAAGTGCCAGACACCTCGCGACGCAACCAAGAAGTTTGATTTTGTTAAGCTTGCACCTATTGTCGTGATTCACTTGAATCGTTTCGCCGAGAGCGGCGGATGGTTGGAAAAGAGGAACACCGCCGTCGATTTTCCTCTCACGGGATTTAATTTGAAGCCTTATCTTGTCATAGAAAATTCAAAGGCGATCGTATCGAACAATATCCGTAATTACAATTATAGTCTTTACGCGATATCGAATCATTATGGTACAATGGATGGAGGTCATTACACGGCATACTGCAAAAACGCTACTCAAAATAAGTATGTATGGCATTTTTACGGTGAATCTGAGAAATCTGTGTTTTTAAATAGATTTATCGAAAATAAAACTAAATTTCATCTTTATTTTTTGGTAAATCTTTTATAGAATGCGAACATTTTCCGACAAAACTCTTTTATGTTAGAAATATTTTAAACTGTGGATGCTTACAATAATTGATAATTATACGTATATTTGTAGATGGTACAAGTATGATGATCAAACTGTCACGGAAGTGTCGCCTAGCCAAGTGAAGTCTCAAAACACGAGTGCCTATTTATTGTTTTATACATCGTTTCCAAATACGATTATGTAGTATGAGGACACGGCCACGGATGTGATCAAGATCCAATTATGACGAAAGTCTTCAGTGTGATATTACTTAAGGAAAGGAGTACACAGGAATATATGATCTTTCAACGCTATGTAGATATTATAAACGATTATATTTTGTATGATAAATTTCTCCTATGCGCAATTGTAACGGGACGCAATTGTATAGGGACTGTGACGGTATTGAAAGCTATCGGTGCTGGCGTTCATTAAGAATATGTAAATACGTATTGCGATATCTGTGTATTTCCATCGCGCTTTGTCGCTTTAGAGATAAAACAAGATATAGTTGCGCTCGAGAATATTTTAATATGTGTATAGCGCTTTGTATAATTATGTTAACATAGATACATCAGAATCATATAATATATCCATTTGATAACATTATCTTGCATTGTATAATTGTATTCGGATCATTTGTATATGTATCATCGCTATATATATCAAAACGAAGCGAAGGGGGCTATAGTTCCTTGCCTTATGGAGCAATTTAGACAATATTTTCGAGGAATTCAGATTTGGAATCCATCTATTAAAAATATGTTCTGTTCAATCATATTTTACACAAGTGATTTTGACAGTCATAAATAGCGTTTAACATGGAGGAAATGCATATACCGTGTGCAATTTAGATCGATTAGCAGCACACTAACTGCCTTCTTTGCTACGCTGCCAGTATTGTTGCAATGTACAAGCATTTTGTACGTGAAACAAAACGCTTCTTTGAGACGTACACTTCTTAAAAACAGTTAGGATTCCGTTATATATAAATTATTATGTAAATTCACTGATTTCGAGCAGTCCAAAGAAAAATCACATTTTATAATTAGATATAAATGTAATATTTCTATATTGGAACATCACATTTTCATATATATATATATATATATATATACTATACTATACTATACTATATATACTACTAACTAACTAACTAACTAACTAACTAACTAACGTAACTAACTAACTAACTAACTAACTAACTAACTAACTAACTACTAAACTAACTAACTAACTAACTAACTAACGTAACTAACTACTAATAACTATACTACTAACTACTAACGTAACTAACTACTAACGTAACTAATAACTACTACTTATATATATATATATTATTATTATTATATATATATATATATATATATATATATATATATATATATTGCAAAAATCAAAAGCAACTTGCACTTCAAAAGCTAGACTAGAAAAATTTTCGTGCGAGCTTGCTAGTTCAGCAATTTACAGGATTGATTTTATTATTGCCATATATTATTATATATATATATATATATATATATATATATATATATATATATTGACAAAAAATACAAAAGCAACTTGCACTTACAAAAGCTAGACTAGAAAAATTTTCGTGCGAGCTTGCTAGTTCAGCAATTTACAGGATTGATTTTATTATTGCCATATATAATTATATTATCGTTAATTATTCATGAAGTGTATAATAAGATGATAAGGAACATCGTAATTACATTCACTACAATTTTGTATATGTACCTGTTTTTTAAAACTCGTTCTAAAACTTTTTGCAAAGAGCATAATACGTAATCAGTTTTCTCTGATCATGAGAGATGTCTCACATAATGTTTTCAAAGTATGCTCAGTTGTCAGATAGAAAATATTAGAAAGTTTTGCGACGTTGTTTGCACTATTATTTACGAGATTTGCACTATTATTTATGAATGTTAATATAATTAAGTGAAGCTTTAGATCATTCAAAATCTTCTGCGAACGTATACTGACATCGAAAATTTGCGCAATTTTTTAGTTATGTCTGATATAATCAATTTCATAGCATAAAGACTTAACGAATAACTGGTACTTTGTTTTAATACATATAATGATATGTTAAATAATTTTTTGATAATGGATTGTTGATTTTTCTATTATTCTATCCACGTGAGACATTAGTGAGACGTGAGATATTGAATATGGAATAATAATTTTTGTTCCTTTGCTGCATTAATCCTAATATCCTAATATATTATATTTTTTATATGTTCAAATGTTTGTACATGCAACTCTATTATATTACAATTACATAAATGCAATTACATAAATACATTGTCCAAATATGTTCTTTTTTCAAATTATTGAATTCTTTTTAACAGGTATATTTTTCCGATTACATATTTAACGTGTTTCTTATCAGCTTCCATAGCTGCACTTAAAAAGATCTAGTTTCTTTTTAAAAATATATTAATAAAACCATTATAAAACTTGCAATATATCAATTATGTATTATAATATAAATTGATATCTAATTAGAAAACCCGTAATTAGATTTTATTTATAGAAGTAAAGACAATGCGATTTTCCCTTGATCAAAAAACCCGAGATGAAAATTGAACTGTGTAAATTTCCGAATATCTGTACATAAAATGTACGAAGAGATATGCTCATCGCATTCATCCTGCTAATTGAATACTAATTAATTGTACTGCTACGATCGACGTGTTTTCGGCAAAGTTAGCCCATTCACGCCGCAATTCGCAAATCGCACTCGTTTACTCGCGCCAGAACAGCCGCGGTCGTCGCAATTAGCATCGGCCCCCTCGCGAAACTGCCGAACTTTCGCGCGTCGTTAATAATCTCCGGCGCAATCTGTAGTTCAATACACGTCCTCGCCTTAATCGGAAACTTCTCGCCATTTTTCTCGGCGCGTTCTGTTCTCGGGCGCGCTCCTCGAGACAATTTATATTCTTCTATCCTTTAATGCACAACTCTCAGGGGCACCTTGCCCGCACCCCCATGTTGTCGTCGTCGTCACCGCGCGCTCTCGACCCAACTTTTTCCATATTCCAATTAGGAATATTTCCCATTGATTTAAGGCCCGGTCGCCGAAGGCGGGCGAATATTAACGGCTTAACGCCGCGATAAATTTACAGCGCCGATACGCGGGGCACCCGCGTCCTAGGGGGCGGACGCAGACGAGCTTTCCCTTCCCCCCTCCCCTCCCTCCCGCTAGGGAGCGACGTAAGGATCGCGCGTTTACGTGTGCCGACACACTTTACGAGTCGCAAAAACTCTCGTTAACATTAATCACCGTGCTTATCCGAAATCGATACGTCGGGGCTGCGAGGGTGAGGGGCTGCGCGTGTCACCCCGTCTGTTTACGAGTGTTTCTTTCGTGTATTTCTCCGACTCTCGTTATGAAAAAAAAAAAAATCATCTCGCTGCTACGGGAGTTGATTTCTCCGTCGAGGAATCGAAGATGACGCGAGAGACCCTGCGAATAAATGCCGCGCCCTTGATATTCATCCCTTTTAATGAAGAAGAATTTATTCGCCACGCTCTTCTTAAACAATTCTATCAGCATTTTTGTACGTCATTTATTTCGGAGGAAACATGAAGAACGTGAGAAATTTTTCTTCTACATTCTTTTTGGGTATTTAGAAGAACAATTTTTTTATTTCTGTTTCACTTTTCTCTGCTTTATTATGTTAAAGTATGAAAATTTATCTTGAGATATTAAATTTTTAATTTTGTGCAAATAAACGTCACAGAGCTACAATTCCAAAATTTAATAGCATTTTTTTTACCTTTCTTGTGCATCTTTAATATATTGATGTCATTTTGCATACTTTTGATATCGAATTTAGAAGTATTAAATTCTTTTAATTTAATTAATTTGATTTTTTTTATTAAATTTACATTAATTTGCAGAAGCGAAATCAATTGTATAATAAAAATTGATATTTAATAACGCAATTAAAATATTTCACGAATGTAAATCCGCGATAAGGAAAGAAAGCAAAAATAATCGACCTATTCTACTAGGTAAAGTCAAGTAGTTACGATTGGTTTTAATCAAACTCGAAGTTCGTTCTATTGCACATAGATGTCGCTCGTAGTAATTTTCATCGGACATTTTGGATCGAGGTCCGGCGGATCGAAGGGAGTCTGATTCGCGCGATTGTTGCATTTTATCGTGTGTAATTCCCGTTGTGCGCGTTAATGCGTTAATGTTGATTGCGATTTAGCCGCGTTTTCGCGGGTAAACATCCAATAATGCTGCGAGACAACATAGATATCATCTTTAATGCAGCAAGATTGCTTCGCCATGTCGGACCGTTGAAAGCTCGGACAGAATCATCATTTCAAAGGATCGAGCCATCTTGTTTTCATGAATATTGTTTCGCAAACCGGTGAGTATTTTAATCGCGATGTAATTTGCAATTCGTAAAAGTAGCAGAATTAGTTTCTAGTTACACAAATATTTATGTAAAATTAATTAACGCAAGATACTCCAATTTTGCAGAATCTGGTGTGCTTCGTGCCTCGCGGGTGAAAAAATAATTATAATAATATAATACTTCAAGAGAGAAAATTTCTCGCGCATATCAAAATAATTCTGTATGCAACAATGCGCATGAGAGAAGTAATTCGCATGTGAGTATATCAACTTTTGTATTGTATATTCCAAAAAGTAATACGCGATACCATCGTGCTCCAAAATGGCCGATTATTTAAAGAGGTGCGTTGATTTCGTTTTTCTGGTGAGATTGAGGCGACGAAGATAATTTACTTTTCGCCCGCAAGAAGCGAACGTTCTGAAATTTCCTTCTAGAAATTCGTTCCAGGAAATCGCTTCTTCCATTCATATTTTTTGTGCCTTTCTCCCCCTCATCCTCCCCTCGACATGGTCGATTAATTGCACACTAATGCTCTTCCTCCCGGCGCGTTCGCGGACTACGGCAATCGTTGGGACTAAGTTGCAAATAATTTCGCCAGACACGGATATGTGGCTTCATATAGCACGAGTTACGCAGATTGCGGTGTAATTTAATCGGGATACGGAGGTACCAATTAACAGTACATCGCATCTGCGAGGAATAACAAAGAAAGAGAGGCTGGATATTAAAATTAAAATATAAAATATATCTCATGCGTAATAATATTATAAAACAATTTCTTTTTCTCACTGATGGAAGATTAATTGGAAGAGTAACTTGATCATCATTGGTGATTCATACAGTTTGTGCCTCCTGCATTTTATCAATATCATTCTATTTTATTATTCCTGCTTAATATTAATTCAGATGGATACTTGATGTTCTCCATTGATATTTACTTAAAAAGAAAAAATCTTAACTATCATCTTGATTGAATAGATTTGAAATAAAAAAAATACATTACTGCTTTAATTATAGATATTTTATTGTCATCATTTGTTATGAAAAATTATTACTCTAATAAAATGCTTTAATTTCTTTAATTTTCTAGTTCAAAATTTATATAATTTTTTTATTATTTGGAATGAAACGTTTATCGGAAAATTAATTTTTTCAGATTAAAGTTAAAATAAGAATTTCGATGAGATTTGAAAAAAATCAAAATGTGTTTTGATTGCAACGCATGGAGCGAATAAAATGACACGTGCAATAATTGAAGAGGGGATGGGATAGAGCAAATGAAGTAAACGCATTACGAGGTATCAATATAATTCTACAATTATACCATAATACGTGTTCCATTTATTAAATTGGAGATATAATACACAAGCGATAGATAACACGTATGTATAATTTATACAGTATTTTATACAGATTGTCTCTACCTCGTCCATTAACAATTTACCTAGATTTACTGTACAGCAATGTGTGTGTTGTCGAATACTCGATAGACGTTACAAGAGACTTAGGGTGCGCTTTTTAAAGGAAATGATCGCTCGATTTGTCGCAGCGCGCGAAGTAGCGAAGCACTCTTCTTCTTTCCTTTTCCCACGTCTGAAAATGTTCTTCGAATCTCTCACAACTCTTTGTGTATTCAGGGCCCCATCCGCTGCCGAATTTTCCTGAATACAGCGATTAACGCTAAACAAGTTCTACGGCTTGTATTCCTACCGCATGTTAGACTAAAAGATAGTTCGACGTTAATCATATATCCATGTCTTTAAATTTTTTTCTGAGAAGAAACGTCAAAGATAAGCAGGCTTCGAGAAATATTTAATAATTGTTAAAAAGATATTATAATAAAAATTATATTTTGATGAACACATTCGATCGAAATGATTATATTTCCATATTTATTCACATAATATGAGAACTTTAGAATTATCAAATTATAAAATTTTTATGATACGCGCTATATAAATAAATCAAAGCTCAATATATTCTGTTAAAACAATATTCTATTAAAACGTTTCTTTTATGTGGTTATTTTGGATGAGAGTTCGAGATCAGGTAATTATATTTAGCGCTAACCTGCGGCAAGAATACAAAGGTTCGTTCTTTTTAGTTGCACTTTCCCATTACTTTATTTCCTTCCTCTCTTTCCTTTACCCACATCCTCCTCCCTCGTCTTGCCCCGCAAAGTCCGAATATACACCTGTCTCATTTTAAGTGCGGAAAATGTAAGGAAGTGCAGCTGAAAAAAACAGAGCCAGAGTTATGAGTTTAGACGCACGCCACGTGCGATTTATATAATTTGTGTATGTATGTGTGTATGTGTTGTGTGTTATGTATATCGTAATAACTTCGTACAGCATACATTATACGAAA